TATATATATATGTATGTATATAATTTATCTAAAAATATATATTTTAAATAATTATAATTTATTGTATTATATTATTTAATATTTTATATATTAAATTAGATTTTTTATTATTAAAAATATTACTTAACAAAATTGAATTATATTTTGTATATTAAATTATATTTTTTATTATTTAAATATTATTACAAAAACTTAAATATTATTATATATATATAATTTGGATAAATTATATGTGGATACACGTTTTATAAATGAATTTTATTAGAGATAACAATTAGTCGTGGTAGATTAAATCACATATTTTAATTTGACATTAACGAATTAAAATATAATGACAAACTCAACCCTAATGACAAATTTTATCTGATCTATGTTATATTGAGATATCTAGCGGTATTGCTTGTCGCATATTGAAATGCGAACAGCAAACGTGGTAGATTGCGCAAGAGAAAAGTAAGCGGATTTTTGGTCGACCTTGCTTATAAGCTACACGCGTTTATATTGTATATCTCTTTATACAACCTGGGTATAGGTTGATTGTTCCTGTAAGTAAGATGCATCGAAATTTATATCGATTTATATAACTAAATGAAATATGAATTCATTATTAAGAGAACATAAAATCGAAGTTTCTTTAGCAATGTAAGAACAATTTCATGCGTGTATTATCTTTTCTAAAACTTTGTTCAAACTTTCCAACGCAATTTTATCGTGGGATCGGCCACCAACTGGTAAGAAAAGACGAATTGATTTACTAGAAAACCAAGAAATTGCATCACACAGCATCACGGCACACTCTATTACGTGAGAATATGTGGCAGAACAACAAAACCCTTGTCTTCTTATATTCCATCGAAATGTTTTTCCCATATAAGTTATCTTAAGTTAGTAGTGAGTGAGTGAGTGATTCGTTTAAAACTAGGATGAATATTATGGCGAGTAGGGCGAGTCAAACTTGCCATCATATAAAAACTGGATTGCTTCTTAATCCTTTTTTTTATTTTTTTTATTTTTTTTTTTTTTTTTGATATAACTAATATGCATCTCGATTAGTATCGCTCGACAAAGTTGACTTGTAACAGGATATAAATTCTATTGGAATTTCTTAGATATAAATTCAACTTGACGGATAACTAATTTTTATCTTTTACATAATAAATTACTCAATACTGATCATAAAACATTAATTCTCATGAATATAGTATTCGTGTTTTATTTGTGACATTCTTCATCGATCAAATTTCACAAATCACTTTTATTTTATTTCTACTTTTTCATTTTGAACATCTTTGTTTTCATCAAAAGATACTTTCTTACATATCGAGATTTTCTTGCAAATAATGGAACATTATAAAACATTTAAAAAAAAAACCTATTGGAATTGAGTTAAATGTATAATTTAATTAAAATTTAGTATATCGAATCAGACTGTTAACAAAAGTTCATGTTAATAAAGTTAAATTGCACAGTGAAAGTAAATGCAGATATAAACGAATTTTAATTTCAAAAAAAAAAAAAAATGTAATAATAATAATACTAATATACTCTGAAAGGTTTTTTTTTTTTTTAATTCTTATATAACAATTCGTGAAAGTTTAAGAAAATTTGTAGATACGGTGAAATACTTTATATCGAAATTTTTATTTGACATTAAAGAAAAATAATAAGAGAAACGATCAAAGGAAAAAGTATAGTGTTCGTCAAGCATGATTGAAATAAGTATTATAATTATCTATAAAGGTGCAAAAATATGCGATATAAATATATACAGTAAAAAAAAAAAAATTCTGAAATATAATATAATCGATAATAATTAAAAAAACGTCGTATCTGACAAAAATTTATACTATTATTAAATTTTATTATTTATTCAAATAACATTTTTGAAATTGAAACAAAAATTTTCTAATTTTATTGTATAAATTTGGATAAATTTAAATAATTTGAAATAATTAATAATTATTCATAAAAATTTAATTTATAAATTTTATTAAATTTATAAATTAAATAAATAAAATAAATAAAATAAAGTAAAATAAAGTAAAATAAATAAATAGAATAATTAAATAAAATAATTACTCATGCAATTTAATTTATAATATAATTTTTTCTTATTTTATTTTTAATAATAAAAAATTTAATTTTTGATATATAAAATATTAATAATATAATACAATAAATTATAATTATTTTAAATATATATTTTTAAATAAATTATATATATATATATAATATATATAATATTAATATTATACATATAATAATATTTCATTTTTTGTAATAATATTAAAATAATAAAAAATTTAATTTA